AGTCTCTTTGATCTTTTATTTCCAATTCACCTTCACATACTCCAGAGTCATGAACATTTATAATATGCAAAGCCGCCCTCCATTAAATCAGACTCTATGTGAAAGCTTCAAACCTTCTTAGAAGCCTCTGACCTCAAACGCTATGAAAAGTAACACCAACTGGCTCGGCTGGCCCTGAGGTCTTAGCTTACACAACCCACTGAAAGAAGAAAAAAAAAAAGAAAGAAAAAAAATCACCCTAGATACACACACCTTACTTCTCAGGCAGTCAAACACACAAACATAAATGCACATCCATCCTTGACCTGATATGCAAAGTGCAATTAAATCTGTTTTGGTAAGCAAACACACTCAGTAAACAAACTCTACTGTATGATGCATGGCTGCTCTTCCACGAGATATGAGGGTGTTAAGGGTGAAGGAGACAATAAAACATCATGAGAACCATCACCTCTCGCAATAGGACTAGTATTTTCAAAGATAATCCATTCTGCTACTTCTGACAAAAGATAAAACCTCGGGAGCTAACCCCCCCCCCGCCCCCCAACACATATCCTCATGAGATATTACCCCTGCCTTATCTTGGGAACATATGGGCACAGCTTTGATAGATTGTGGCTCCATAAAGAAGAAATCTTTATTCAGGGAGTGACGGTTTAATCCATGTAAACCTCTTGGTGTCTAACACTTATCTCACCATTCATTTTCTTTTTTGCACAAAAGCACGATTTGGCACTCTTTTGGAAACTTTATGCCACTTTTTTAATTAATTAACATTTCTCAGCTGAAACTTGTTCTTGTAAGTGTCATGTATGTGTAATTACCTTACAAGTAACTAATTAGTTTTTCCTGTCATGAATAATAAAAAACATCCCCCCTTCTTTAAAAAGCTTTACTCTCCACAAGATTTATCCTCTACACAAATTGCATGCCTATGGATGTGATAAGAACACGCTGTGTACAATAGAGTGGCACTGCATCAAATGAGGGGAATTATGTTGATTTCATGTCATTAGTCTGGTGTGGAGATACTACAGCGTAGTTCACAGACTACAGGATCCATCAAGGGTCAAATTCAGTGCCTTCAAGTCCAATAGGATCCTTAATTACACACAGTAAAACTGGTTAATCATGCAACTAAATCATTTAGAGGGAGCAAATGATTTTCTGCTCTGGGGCTGCTTACTGACTTGAACACCATCAATGGTACAAAAGTTTGCGTTAGGGTTTGAAAATTATGAGCTTCAGTATTCACATCATCATTAAATATTATATAAAGCTACTTAACTTAAACTTAACTTTCTGTTTAACTCTCTCAAAAAATCTGTAATGTAAAAAAAAATATCTGCAAATAGAAAATTTGCACCAATAATATTAATAATTTCAAGGTCAAGCAAAGCAATCCAGACCTCCCTCTCCCCAGGTACGTTTTCTAGCTCCTCCTGGGGGATCCTGAAGTGTTCCCAGGCCTGATGAGATATTAAATCTCTCCAGTGTGTACTGGGTCTACCCTGGGGGCCTCCTTCTCCCTGTGGGCCCACCACATGCTGGAACAGGCATCTGGTTGGGGTGTGATGCAAGCTTAGGCAGCAGACCGGGTCAGGGGCCGGCGCATGCCAGTCCCTGGCGTCGAGAACCAGAGAGTATTTACCATTTTTGCCTGACAAAAGTGGTGCTCCAAAGATTTGGCAGCGAAAAAAGAATGGCGCAGAAGGGACTACGATTATCTGTCTTGTAGGACAGACACTAAATATGCTATGTCCTACACTACCCATAATGCATTTTCAAACGTATCTTTCACTTACAACAGGCTTTCTGTTAATGCTGTTTTGTTTAAAAAAACAGAAAAACAAAGCCCTGACAACATCATCAAGCTCCTCCACAGAGGAAATTATAGTCACTGTTTTGTTATAGTCACTGGTTGAGAAGAACTTCCCATAATGAGTAAACTTATTAAAATGATTAAAATTGGTGGACTCTCCTCTTTAATCTTAATTATGTCACTGAAACAAGTGTACAAATGAGTTTTTTTGTGTCTCCAAGGCCCCTGAGAGGCTCCCTCAGGAATCCCATAACAAATACACGATTCAGGTCACAGAAACAGAATAATTGCAGGTCTGTATTTTCTGGCTCACAGACAATTTCACCATTTGGAGCACTCTCCTGCTGTATGGATGCAACTATCCATCTTCCAGAGAAAGGCCTCCTCTTTTTCCCCCCAAAACTACCTTAAATGTCCTGTTTTTACTTGTTTACAAACACAGCCCTCCAGGACAGGCGATGGTATATTTGTTACCTGAGGAAAGAAATTTTGACGCTTCAGGAGACTTGGAGTCATTGGAAAAGTTACAGTTTTGTGGGCTATATGTTCCCTATCAGGGGGAAAAAAATGGATGAAAAGGAGGGGGATAATAGATTGTGGGGGTTTGAGTGACAGCTGCTGCATTCATCTGATAATCAAATTTAATTCAAACACAAAGCCACAAATGGAAACATAAGCAAGAAAATAGCCACTGAATGTCAGTTCTGGCAGCGTCCGCACTTGCCGTCGGCTACCTTATGACCTTTGCCGTGGGCAAAGCCCTTGGGCTCCTCACAAATGTTGGAAAAATCTCCGTCCTTGTCTCCTTGCTTTCAATCCAATTGCGGAAAAGACAAAAAAAAACACAATCATTCTGCGAGCAGAAGGAATTAATGAGCACGGAAACGAAGGAGAAAAACCAGACATGGGATTGTTATGGTGAGGAGAGTGTGGTGATATCAGGAGGTACGAGTGGAACGAGTAAAATATTCATCATCCTCCCTTCGTCTTGTCAGCATTTCTGAACCAACACTGAACAAGAGCACAAGGACAGAAGTTGGAGAAAGAGAGAACTAATCAACATGTAAAAGTGATACCATTTGTGTGAGTTCTGAAGTTAGCGCCCCAGTCCTTTTTTTGTTTCCCGTCATCATTATGCAGAGCAACTTTGATGCAAAAAAATGAGACGCTCACCATTTGTGGCAGCTATTGAACTTTCCAGACATGACCCCGTTTTTACAAAGTGCTTGATGGCACAAAATGAAAGCAAATCGTACCTTTTGGGAGGGAGAGCCGGCGACTTTAACTCCAAGCTCACCAAATGACACCACTTTGAAGTTTAGTTTTCTTGTCTGTTTGACATATTAAGTGATAAATGTGAAGTAATTCCCTTGTTCGCTAATGGATGTAATTTTTCTTCCATTTAGTATCATATAAAGTATCATAAAGATGTCAGTGGTGCCACTTTGAATGGAACACATCAGACATGATTCCTTACACGGAAGGAAAAGGCTGCTATTATACCGAGAAGAAATTAAAAGTGACAATTAATCTTCTTTCCTTAGCAGATACTAAAGAATTAAGAATCTCTTAAACTAAACATCACTGAAATAAATGACATAACCAGCACTAACTAACTTAGAATGAGCAAGCTCCTTTTTGCACCAACCTACAGTTACTGTATGTGGATCCTCTACACCAGTGGTCCCCAACCTGTGGGCTGGGGCCCACCAGGGGGCCGCAAACGTGTTGCAAGTGGGCCGACAAATCATCAGCAAAACATGCAATTTTGGTGAATTTTGATTATGAAGCAGGTCTTTTTTTTCTCTTACTAAGACCTATCACTGTGATAAGCCTTTCATTTCATTCCTGAATGTTCAATCGTTACCATTGATATGAAAAGTGCTCTGAGAATGCATTATTTGTCCTCCATATTGCCGTGGGGTCTGATGTGGTCTGCCAACATTTCTGTGATTTTCAAGTGGGCCGTGAGTCTGAAAAGGTTGGAAACCGCTGCTCGATTTCCATCATACATGACTCTTTCTGTGTGTGTCCCATGTCAACACAATACTGCACACAAATACTGTGTTACACTTTCCACTAATCCTTGTAGTAACTAGTGTTCAATAAATCAGTGTACTTTACCTTTTCATACAAGATGTGCATTAAAGGACGTCAATCAAACTGGGGCTGATGAAAAGTGCGAAAAGTTTGTTTCTCTGTGTAGGGACACCTTTTTGTTCCTCAAGGTGTCCCTACAGCTCCTTGCAGCTTCTTCATCCAGCAGTGTGGCTCCATGACCCTTTTTTTTGCATGGTATTATAGGACAATAGTGAACCTTTGCAAAAAACACTTAAAACTGAGTAAAGTTTAGCACACCATCCGCACTGATGCTCGTCATTTCTCCACAGTATAGACTACTGAATGTGGGACATAGCTCTGAAGTTCCTCTGCACCATCTAAAAGACTGCATCCCTGTATTTCCCTACACGGCTCCATTGCAAAAGGCATCACGCAGAAGAAAATTAATGAACCAATGCAGAGAGACCAGCTCCTATAGAGGGGGCTCTCAAACCCCTAATAAATTGGAAAATTGACCATGAGGAGACCCTGGGGAAAGTTTGGGAGAGCAAGGTTGCATTTTTCTTTTTTCTTTTTTTTTGGGGTGGGGGGTGGGGGGTGGGGGTTTGTGGCTCTAGAATAACATTAGCAGTCAGCTGCCTTTGTGGGGAAGCAAAATGTTTTGCATTTTGACGGGTTCACAAGGTTTTGGCTTTGGGAAAAAGTCAATCACATTCATGGTTTGCTGAGCGTAATGTTATTTAAAATGCCAGTTGTGATAAGGCTATCCGCTTGAAGTTGCATTTGGTAAGTCGTTCTGTATTACCTCACCTCTCCTCAATTAACATCAAAGACATTTACACACAGTTCCATATATGGCTGATTTCAATGAGCGTTTCAAAGATAATGGCAACGTGGAATAAATGACACAAAATGTAATGTTGACTGGAGGTGTCATTATTGCGCATATGGCTGGCTCAGCGTCATCCTCTGCTTGGTGAATCATGAACACCTTTGGTAATGCCTCCCACCATGATAATCTGAGCTGCATGCAGCGCTGCAGATCCATTCTTGGAGGAAGAAGACAAGTGTACAATTTTATTTTTTCACATATCCACTCATATGGATTTCAGGACTTTATTGAGCAATAAAAAATATACACCAAGGAAAATTACCATTTTCCTTTTTCCCCATATTGTTGTTCTTCCATCTCAAAATCTGATTTAATACTTCCAGATGAACGACCCATGATCCAAAGCGACAAACTGGAACAAAAAAAAAAGAAAGAAAAAAAGAAAAGAAAAGGAGAAAAAAAAAATAGAGCAGTGTTTTTAGTTCAACAATAGAAGTTGAAAACCACCAGACCAGTTCGAAAGCATCTCTGTTTGTTTATATTGTTCACTGAAAATTTTGAAAAACAGGTTTCAAACAGATTTGGTTTGAACAGGAGTGAAATCACAGACTAGGTTGTCACATCTGACTCTGCCTCTCCGTACAGTTCTGCCAGTTTCTGGAACTCGGGCCCCCAGTCATCCAGGTAGTTATAATCCTGCTCCGAATGCGTGCCGGGAGAGTCTAACGGACTGATTGATCCTGTGGGTGAGCCCTGACCCTCGTAGGCGTAGGTCTGGAGAGAGTCGTAGGGCGGCACGCTGGTGTCCAAGTCGGCCTCTACCAATCTTTGCTTGATAAACTCATGCACGTCCACCTCGTCCAGCTCCACCGACGGGCTCCGGTGGCTGCGGGGCGGGATGCAGTGCTGCCTCGCCTCCGGGCGAACATCCCGCCGGAACTTGAGCTCCTCGGCGGCAGCTGGGTTACGCAGGGCGATGATGTCGAAGGCCTCGGTATCCTCCTCGCCTCCGCCCTCATCGTCGTAGGTGACCACATTCTCTCTAATGTCCTCTTCAGAGATGATGAGGGGCTCCTTCTTGCTCCGCCTCAGTGTGATGAAGAGAACAACGATGGCTGCAAGACAGAAGAAGATCAGTGGTTATATTTCTGAGGATGATGCCACAAAAAAGAAAATGAAAACCATATACAACAATAATATACATATAAAGTTATTTTCTGCAAAATAATATTTAGAAGCTCCAGACAAAAGTAAATTGCTTTTTTGAACAATTAAATTAACAAACCGCTTAGCAGAACATCACATAATGGAACAGCTGAATGTGGTTACAATGCTCTGCCATTTCTTTTATGCTAATACCAATCTCTGTGTGTGCCTGTGTTGTTGTTCGTTAATTCATAGCTCATGACAGACGAACATGCCGTGGTTCGTAAACAGCAAACCAAATCAACACCAACCAATTTCATGTGCATATTTATCTGATTTTCCATCAGGACACTAAAACTGGCCAAGCGTCGAGGAGTTGTAAATCAATAATCGCATTAGCCGACATTAGCGTCGAGGCTGTGATGATTCTTTGAATGCAAGCTGTTGGGAGCACGACAATGCACACATTATGATCATCTGCGGGGCCAATTCAAACCTCACATCCAGCCAAAATGCAATACATCAAGCAAGGAAGCATATGGAGGTACGTCTCGTGTAATCATCTCCCACTTTTTAGGTGAGACTCGTAATGGAGAGAGCGAACCGCATCAGTGAAAATACAGCATGATGTTGCAAAATGTCCGTGTTGATAACCAGCTTACAGTCTTTCCCGACTCTTAATGAAGTCATGAAGCCAAGTTATATTTGATGACACGCTACAGCTTGCGATCTTGTTCCTACAAGTAATGAGAGTTGTGCCTCTTTGGGTTAATGATGACCTCTGCAAGATGTTAACACTAACATCCACTTAATAAAATAGCGTCAGCGAGGGGAAGAGCATTTTTGCAGCAGTCCAATATCTGAAAGGAGTTCATAATGCTATCAGCAGAGATGAGCGAGACAGATCAGTGTTCCTGCAGAGGCGTCGCTTTGCTTCTTAATGAAATCCACTGAATGTAAGCAGCAGGAAAAACATAAAGAATCAAGGGGGCGGGGGGGTGATATAAAAGTTTCTCAGCATCTTGGCATCATACATCAAACTGTTATATTCTATCTTTATCTAAACAACTACACATTACTGTGTTAGGCCGGCCTCTCGGGAAGAGGCACCTTATAGCACATTCAAGGTGAGAGCTTGATAGAGAGACAGGAAGGTGCTGCTGGATTAAGAGGAAGTGGAGGTTTCCGCTTTCATAAAGCCAAGGATGCAATGACACATTTGGCTGATCTACTGTAGCTGCTCAAGCAATCCATTTTGGCGTACATGGTGTGGTGCGGTAAACAGACTTCACAGCAGTTTCAAAGACAGTCGACCTAGACTCAAACACCGGAGCCTTTACTACCTCACTTCACTTCACGTATTTAACGCCGGCCTTACACCAAACCGCTTCACATTCTCTCGCCTCCCTCCACGCTCACTATCAGCTCAATTCGCTGTTTCCTGTTTGGTGCTGAAGAAAGCGTCATTGAACGCCACTATCTGCATGAGCCAGGACTAAAAACATAGGATAATATTAAACATGTTTGACTGTATCAGAACAAAAAAAGGAAAAAAAACTGACTTAAGACAATCAACTTACACCAAATGATTGTGAATGGGAGTGCGCTGCAACCCTGAAACTTTCCCAGTTTTTTTTCCAACTTTAGGTATTTGTCTGTGACAGCGAAAGCAATTGAAAAGTAATTTGGCGCAAGGCCAGCATAAGTTGCAGGACTCTGGGACAGACTGATAACCCAGCCTTGGGTATAAGGTAAATATTAATATTATTAGCCAGCAGTTACGCTTGGAGCCAAAAATAATAAATTGTCGGTAAAACATTGTCTGGATTGATGTTCAGCTATTTCTCTCTGTCTTTTTGTTTGATGTCAGAATGTTTCACTTGGCAATATAACAGATAGCCACCACTTAGTCCAGTAACTCAGCAACCTGTCAGCCCATGAGGCATTACACAAGCCCAGATTGAGTTGTAATTTGACAGTGTAAAAGTCTAAATGTAAAATGCAACACAGAAAATTTTTCCATTACGGCTTGGATAAAAAAAAAAAAAAAGAAAGAAAAGAAAGTTTGACTTTTGTAAAAGTAATTATGCACAGATTCATCTATCTACATATATTTCATTGTTCAGTGTTCACTGTGTTTTTTTAAATGAAATGTCCCCTAACCTGCATGTGATTAATCTATTCAAAAAAACAAAAAAAACAAAAAAACAAATTCACTTCCCTCCACCTGCTGCCCAAGTGGGGTTAGAGAGGGTGAGAAATGCAATTTGTCTGGGACAGTGCTTATCGCTCTACTTGTTTAAAGCAACCAATTACACAACGCAAGGATGTGAGCGTGTGTGTGTGTGTGAGGTGAGCTGGGTCAATCACTGAGGAAATAAAGCATTTCTGCTTTTTTATGTTTACTTCTACGTGCACATTTTGGAGTTTGGAACTTTTTGCTTCCACTATTCACAGTTTCACATCTCGCTGTAGTTTAGAGGTAAACAGCCTGCATATAATAAAAACAAAAAAAAATGTTACCCAGAAACTGACTTCATGTCACCTTTTCATTTTCTACACCACTCTGCACTCTCCACAGCCCGTGATCTACTTGTATTTGTAGTATATTCCTATTCACTATACACAGCACATTGTAATACGCTCTCCGCATTAATGCTCCGTCAGTGGTTCATTCAGGTCATTTCATATGCCAACCCAAGGCCAGCTGAGGTTTAACTGTTGCTCAATACACCACTTACAGCACCAGGGAGCATTACTCTAGTCTACGGATATCTATTTGCTGCGCAGTGGCGACGGCAGGAGTCTCATTTATGCTGCATTTATACCCTGGTTATTGAAGATTGGACGACTAGCGGAGTGTCTTGCATTCTAACACAATGTGTCTAATCGAAATAAGAGCTGCTCGTAACTTCTCAAAGCTTAGACCTCAGCTGCAAGTATACTGCAAGTAAAAACACTTAAAAAGTCAATTGTCTTGTGCTTTTGAAACACAAATACAGCACAGCACTTCTTCACCTTTATCGATATCACCACCAATACCATGTCATTCATCACCTAGAGTCAGACCTAAAATGGCTGTAGTCCCAGAAAAATATTCTGACTAACGTTGGCACTTTGCATATTCGTCCTTTAACTTGTTGCTAAGGACTATTACTAAAAATAAGATCCTCAAATGAACAGAAATGTTATATTTTACCAAAGACATGCTACTACAATTGCAGTGAATGTAAGTATTTGCTTTGTGTTGATACAACAAAGTCATCGCAGTTGATCCTACATTAAGCAGAGACTGTAGAAATACACTTATTAGGCTTGTTTTCAATCCAATTACCACTGTGATTCTTTACCATTCTCTTTGAAACTAAACGAGTAAAATCCCAACAATGATCTGCTTATGAATATTCTGTTTTTTTTTTGTTTTTTTTTAAGTTGATGTGTAGAAGGCCAACCTTATCAACTGAGACAGTTCAGAGATAGTTTGTATCCCTTTCTGGTTTTCTGCAGGCTTAATTAGGATGGCTTATTAGAGGGCACAGAGATAAAACACGGACATTAATTGGGCAGACGGAAAACAATCAGACACAAACAAATCAAGCTGACAAGCAAAGACGAGCAAGAATTCAAAGTGGAAGCCACGTCTATGTAAAGGATATAAACACTAATGTGCTGGCTTTACCACTGTAGTCCATATTTCTAAATCCACATTAGTAAAACCTCTTGTTCATCTGAAACATGTTGAGTTTTTTTTAACCTCGAACAAGTTCATTGTGATTTATATATATAAATAAATAAATAATCAAGATTTTTGGGGGCATGTTGGCCGACTATGGGGATTAACTGTGTTCGGTATATTTAGTTACATGAAAAAAAAAAGACTAAAGGAAATGTTCCTCATTTATATGAGGAAATATTTGATCAAACAATAAAATAATGAAGCCTAAACCTCTTATCTTTATCTATGACCCGATTCACCCCTCACACATTAACATGTGATCTTCATCTGAAAAAAAACCCAACATTAAGCCAAGGTGTTCATGCATGCAGAATGCATTGTGATCATCATATGACTGAATATCAGCCAGGTGTAAATGCAATCGCTACAGTGAGTTCACATTGTTGTTCTCCCCACTCATGTAAGCAAACCCCGTCAAAACTACATGTTGTAGCAGTAGCTTGAAGTCTGCCGGCCCCACCTAAATAATTTGCAGATTCAGATCCGACCACAATGAGAGCAGAATGAAGGTAATGAAAACTCTTATTAATACCAGGTATAAATGCACGGTCCGTGGATTGGATGGCACGTTAATACCAGGTGTAAATAAGCAGAGAGGCTCAATACTAAGCCTGACAGGAGGGAGAGACAAATGTCATATGGAGAGAGGGAGACATGACATGCAACAGAAGCCCCCCAGGGGGATTTAAACCTGGGGATATTGCAATATGCGTCTTAGTCCACTACACCACCAGGACATACGTGGTGGAGATCAGTTCCAGCCTCCCCCCCGTTTATCCCTCCCTCTCTCTCTCTCTCTCTCTCTCTCTCTGTCCTAACTAGACTTTGTTTTGTGCTGACGATTAGTGATTCAGCGTGTGTCTCTCACTCAAGCGTTCGCTCCAAACAGTGGTGATGGCCTTTTGTTCGCCTCAGCCAGAGACTTTGGCATAGAGGAGGCAGACAGCCAGTATGAATATGCATAACCTTCACGCACTAATGTCCACAGACAATCGCTGAAGAGAGGAGGGGAGAGCGGCGACGGTGAGGCCGTGTTATTAGACGGTTTTGTCTAATCATGTTCTACTGCAGTTCGGTTTGCAGGGTGTGCGACGCCTCGCGCAGCCCCCGAGAGGAGACAGGAAATTTAATGATTTGATCTTTGATATAGAATTTGTGTCACATCTTCCTCTTCTAACATCATGTTCAGATTTGTGTTTGTTTTTTTTTTGTTTTTTAAAAGAAAAATCTGAACAGTACAGCTGACTGTCCTCATCCTACATTCAAAGTGACAATATAATATTTGCAGGTGTGTACATAAATAATCATTTGCTGTCACTTCAAGGACCGGTTGCCATAGTAACAAGACACGCACATCATTGACTGAGGAAATGTTTTCTGGCTGCGGCGGCTCTGGTAACATGGACGTAAGCTCCTGTTTATTCTCACTGTGTTTTTTTGTATTCATGCTGCAGAACACATCCGTCACACATGAAATCAACAGAAGTGGTATCTGTGCTGGCTGTCACCACATTCCTCCACGCTTGTCCTCTGCTCCTCTAGTCACAACATGCAATGTCAAGCACATGCCAAGCGGTGGGGGGTGGGGGTGGGGGTGATTCAGTTGCATAGTAAGAGAAGATTTGAATTGAATTTCAATTTGTCAATAAACGTGATTTAGGTTTTAATCTGATTGGAGCTGCCTGTTTGAACATGAGTCCTCACTCGTCTCAGACTCAAGTTCCCTCTCTCCGACCACTGTAAGGTTATTCTCAGTATTCTCTCAGTTGTATGCGACTTCTTTCTGAATCACACTGACCAATCCGCCTCTTCTTTGTCCTCACCATCTCCTTTCTACTCACCTCTCCTCCAGCCTCCTCTCTCTTTGTCCTTCTCCTCTTCTGTCCTTCATATCCGTTTCTTTCTCTTCCACTGCCACCCTCTCTAACTCTTTCCACCCTCATTCTAAATTCTACCTGAGTCCTCGCATGTCTATTCATCCCTCTCCTCTCCCTCTGCCCTTGTCAAACCCTTTTCAAACCCTTCCTCTCTTCCCTTCCCTCCTCTATGGTCCATCTCCTCCGTCCAAGCCCTCAGGATATTTGCCCCCTGGGCAGCTACCCCCCCCACCCCTGCTGCAGTCCCCACAGCGGCTGTCCCAACTCACCCAGCAAGATGACTATACACAGCAGGATGGCGATCAAAGCCCCCGTGCTGAGACCCGCAGAGGAGAGGAACGCCTCGCCTTGGCACATCCGGATCCTGCCGTGGCGCTGGCACGGGCACACCCGCAGGGTCAAGGTGCTGGTACCGCTCAGCGATGGCTCCCCGCCGTCCCACACCACAATAGGCAACTCGTACAGCTCCTGGGTCAGGTGGTTGAAACGCCGCCGCCTTGCAATGATGCTGGCCGTGCTGTCTATAATGAAAGGAAAAAAAAAAAAATAGTTGGGGGAAAATTAGACCCCTTGGCTAAAACGACAAATTGATGGTTTTCTCTCAGTTGCATTGCTCGTTCAGTAAAGCCTACAATTACGTATTTATACAGACACACATTTAGATTAAGGGTATGAATTGTCAGATAAACAGGGGAAAAAAATCAATTGCCTGCCATTGTGAATCGTTTCTTTTTTTTTTGCCTTGAAAGTATCTTAAGCTGGTAGATTTCTCACTGTCGGCTGCTTCCCCGTGTGCCAAGGCTAATTAATTTCAAAGGTGTTCGTTTACTATTTTAATGTGCTGCAAAAGAGCAGTTCACCTTGGCCTCTGCTCAAACACCTCTGTTAATGGAACATGCCATTAGATAAACAAGAAAGAAAAAAAAAGAGGCTGACTTTACTGAGAAGAAAAGGCAAATAAGAGAGAGCTCTAAAGGAAAGTGTTAGTGTATGATTCAGCGAAGAAGAGGACGCAAATCAACACGCAGCTCTAACACGTGTATGTGCTTGTAAAAAAAAGTTGAGAATAAGCTTATTGTGATGTCAGCACTCGCTCCCAGGTGAGCTTTAACCTGTAACCTGAGACTGATGAACTCCAACTGGCCTGCACTCTTAGCTGTGTACAACCACTTCAGTCTATATCCATATTCTTGATAAGACAGCCTACATTCTCCAACATGAATATACTAGTCACAATAGAAAGATTATGTGTCTTAGAAGACATATATTACTTCACATTGGAGAACACGTTGTCAGAGAAAGGAGATTTGTTTGAGCCAGAGGCCACTGCAAAAACAACAGTAAGATTCATTGAAGCGGTTCCAAATTGTCCGCACCATCGGTATCATGTGCCCCCGAGCTTATCAATTCCTTTTATCGATGCCGGCGTGTTTTTCAGAGCTGGGCAAGTTGCATAGGGCTCCGCAAATTACACAAGGGCCCCAACCACCCGCTCATGTCAAAGCAGGTGTCAGTGTTTGAAACTCTGATGAGAGGATGAAGCGGAAATATCCTTCTGGTCATGAAAAGAGGAAAAATAAATAAATAAAAAACACGATCAGAGTGAAATGCAGCAACAGCAGTAAAGCAGGTCCTGAACTAGGTTTGATGCCAGCAAATAAGAGTAAGGTTAAGCTGACATGCGTCTCTTTCTCTTGTCTGTCTGTCTGTCTGTCTGTCTCTAACACAGCTGGGCAGTGTGTCTCTTGGTCTGTCCAGGTTTTACAGGGCATTGTTCTTTGACTTTGTCCGTGACACAAGTGACAGTGAAATACAATTTTATTTATTACGTTTTATAAACACCAAAGGGCGGCGGTGTTCATAAACTGCAGCTCGGAAAAGATAACTGCGTCGTGCGTGTGGTACACGCGTTCATACTGCATGTCCTTGCAACACATGAAACATGTGCTTTCCTGCAGCAACCTCTGTGGAGACCCTGTCCAGACAAAATATGGGCATGATGTTACTCTTCATGACTATCAATGAGGATCTCGTCTCTCAGTCAAGGTTTAGTCAAAACTCTGGACTAATGCAAGATGGACTGACATTGACTCAATTGATGAAATATTGAATTTAAAATGTTGATTAGCTGGACTGGGCAATACTGATGCACATCTCTCAGTAAATATCCATCATGTATTCAGCAAAGCCACAATATGTTATGTTGGAAAATGTATGAAAGAAAATCTGCGTGATTCTATAGAAAATGCTCTATCCAATAAATATTATGTGTTTACACCTCAATCACTTCTGTATGAGTGTAGTTATTCTCAACCCAACAGATGGAGCAAGCTGTTTTAAAGGAGGGAGGATTGTAGTGGGGTGTTTGGTCACAGAAAATTGATCAGGAAATCATTAAGGAATCGGACCAATAAGCAGACTCAATAATGGCGGTGGTATCGATAAAATCCTTCCCAGTTGCACACTAATTCCTACCAAAACCGAGTCACCAGTTACAATGACTGTCATCATAAACTACAGTGTGTAACATATTCTAAGATCAGGTGAAGAGAATGTAAGCTGATATTTATTGTTAACACTTCCTTTACTGATATTTACTGATACTGGACAATACTAAGCAAAAAATGGGAATTGTATATTTTGATATTTTATGTTGTTGCTGTTGTCGTCTCTTCATAGAGTATACATCACAATCAATGCATTTTCAATATAGTATTTTACTCAACTTTCATATTTGCAGTGTATTGTGGTTTTATGATAATGAAAACTAAGAGTTTTAATTACACTGTACATGTAAAAGCCCAACTAGGGACACAAGTTGAAAATTAGCACGACAACATCAGTTTCATGCTTTGGATTGGAGCTATGTTAAATTGCATTGTTGCTATAAATAAACTACAACTTAAAAAAATGTTGAATGACCATGTTTTTATAATCTGATTTGAGGAACTACTTTACACGGTAGCCTTAAGCGAAGTGGTCAGCACGGTGAAGCCTATAAGTAGAAAAGTGGTTTAATATGGCTGGAATTGTGCATGTTAACTTGATATTCATGTGTTTGCTTGGGAGAACTACCCCTTCATAACCAGCTTTACAGCATCATTTGTTGTGGTTAAAAGACTAACATGCAGTAGCTGCTGAGGCTAGCTTGTTAGCCAAACTTACACGGGGATGCTAAGAACGTTAACTGTACCCTTCCATCTGCAGTGCAGCTGAGGCTCATTTCAGATGCATTTCATTTGTTAAAACTTCCTTTTGAAGGGCATGTCTGCTAAGAAGCTTAAACAACACGCAGGCTAGCACATGACCACTTCACACGATGCGCTGGTCTGAAGGTTTACCAGTAAGAATCTAACACGCCATGCTTACTGGTAACCAGTCGGCTCTGTGGGGTGTGTGTGTGTGGGGGGGGTTTGTCTCAGCAGGAGATCATCAGTTTATCTGTTATCTGTTCAAATAGCAATAGTTTTATGGAAAATTTAAAGCAAAAATATCTCTTGTAATAGTTGTATTTTAAGATAAGGAATCACATGTTTGAACCACACCACCTGCTACAGCACATGATCACTCATCCCTGTTCATTCAAACTATATGGCTGGGTGATTCAGGTACCCGGATGACTAATTTGGGCCTCACTTGACTGACTAAGTAGAACCTTGCAGATGAAACATGTACATGATATTTTAAGTTCCCAAAAATGCTGATTCATGTACGGGGCAACCTTTTCCTTTCCGCCCAGCGAAAAAAAACCCCACCTCCGCCGTGCTGTACTATCATGCTGCTGCTCTGAGACCTTGCCTCCCACTCCAATCTCTGCTCCATCTATGAATAATTATAATGATCGACAGTTGGAATGACAACACGTACTTCAAGCTTTATTAAGTCAGACTCGCAGTATCACCGTATCAGCAAGCAGATGGGTGGGGGGTTTCAGAGAGTGGAGAGTGTGAGATGCAAATAACAAGGAAGAGAGATGGGGAGTTGAAAGATGAGAGGAGAAGAGGGGGGTAGGAGAGCGGGTGTAAATGGAGGAGGTGTGTGTGTGTGTGTGTGTGTGTGTGTGTGTGTGTGTGTGTGTGTGTGTGAGCAAAAGGGAGAGCAGAGAGGGCGAAGACTGAGGGGACTGAGAAAGAGAGAGAGAGAGAGAGAGAGAGTGAGACAAACAAGCCTGTGTGTATGTTGTGTTCACCGTCACAGCCTTTACACTTTGAAGCACAGAATAACTATGCGGCACGGGGTCCTTGTACAGACCACAACGAGGAAGTGCACATCAATTATGCCATGCTAATTTTGCATTAAACCGTCTCTCGTCGCAGGTGGGTGGAGGAGAGCTTGTGCGCTTGTTGATTAACACCGCAGTGAGATGGGCCATCTGCAGCCACACGGCATCCACATGAGAGGAGAGACAGCACGCGTTAGCGCAGTCACAGTTTAACTGTGTTGTGACAGCTCGCACTATGCGATGCTACCTGCAGTGCGAGGCAGGTGACCACCGGGAAATGAGGGAAAATATGCTTTTAAGAGCATTTCATGCTTCAGAGAAAATGATCTTGCACATTTTGATCTGTGTCATTTTGCAAATCACTTGCAAGCAATTTTCCTTTTTCTTTTTTTCCTGGTATCTGGTTTTCTATCACATAAGATGCACACAGGCATTAATATACGTGTGTGTGTGTGTGTGTGTGTGTGTGTGTGTGTGTGTGTGAGAGAGAGGTTTCTACACAACCCTGTGGAATGTCTCTAGCACTGGGTTTGTTAAGCCAGAGTACGAACCAGTAACTGGCAAATGGCCTCATTTTTTCACTCTTCCAAAAGCATTAGCACGATAGGCAAGGTATTGCTTACATAATTCTCACATCACTTATGCATTCCTGTCTCTCCATCTCAAGATATAAAGTGAAGTAAGGTTTCACAGCATCATAAAAATAAAACTTTATTGGCAGAAGTGTATGACTTTAGGACTCAGTTATGATCTATAAGGTCACTTTCAACTCTCTCTTGTGATTTCAAGATTAAATGTTTATGAATATGTCTGAAGCAAAAACCTGAGCAAAAAACAGTTGGTGTTATTTTGTAACTAAGAGGTGCGCAACTTTATTCAAATTTGAGATATTTTAAGTGTTTGCCATATAGTGAATCTTTGTCATAGAGCTGACTCTCTGCAGAACATATGAAGTTGTGTTGGAAAAAAAAAAAGTAAAAAGTAAAAAGTAAAAAAAACAAAAAAAAAAAACAGCACACCAAAAATAAATCAACAATAGACACGACGCGACGCAAACACATCTCTACAGACTTCACACTTGCCTACACATGCACTTAGCTGGATTCCTTGTGAACTTTGGTGGGTGTGTGTAGGTGCCACTGATGGGATTCAGCACGAACTTTCTCTCCAGTTGCAACTTGGAGCACAACACACCGTGCTACAGTACGGTGGGACACAATACACACCCGGTCACGTTATGAACTTATTTGCACTTAATGTTACAGATGGCTCATGGTTATATTTTCATACCGTGTTAAG